TTCAGCAGCACAACAGGGGATGTGCACTCAGCAATCCACACCAAAACCCCATGTGGTTGTGCAGAAGCTCACTGCTGAAGCAGGTCTGAGGCTAGAAGCTGTTTCTCCTGACCCCTCACAGCACCATGTTCTGCCCATTCTGGGTGAGGAATGGGGAAGAGCACCCTACCACTTTCTGCAGGTGTCCAGCAAGACGAGGTTCAGGGCCGTCTGCTGCTGCTGCATCTTCTGGAGGATCCTCTGCACGCTGATGCAGTTTTCAGGGGTATAGGGTTGTGGAGCATCAACGGGGACCATGTAGTTCCTCCCCAAATGTTCGTACCCATGACCAGCGTAGTAGAATATAGCTGGGAACAGAGAGAGGAGAGGATGAGCCACAGTGTGAGCCTTCAGGTCTGTAACCACTCCCCCACAGCCATGTCCCACCTCCTGTCCTGAAGGGATAGTGGTGCAGGTCTGACCTAGACCAGTAGCACCTATGAAACTGGAGCTATGCTGACCTCACAATGTTTCAGTCCCTTCTCTTCAGCAGAGTTGGAAGCAGCCCTGAGAGGCTCTCCTGTACTTGTGGTTTCCAGCTCCATTTGTCAGAAGAATCCAACATCACAGGGCCTACACGTTTCCATAACTGTCTGCACTACCACACCCTAGCTCAGCATCAGCCACGCTGAATGCCACCTCTGCACCAAGTTCTGCACCAAGGTTTGGTTAATCCTCAGCTCTTTGCAAGAACATGACAATAAAGTATTTTACCACAATGAAAAATGCATTAACAGCCTTTTAAATTATAAGCTCCTTAGCTTCCTTGTTTTGGAGAAGAAACTAGCAATGGTGATGGGAAACACTTTCCAGCTTTCTAAGGTCTGCCTGTATTTACACACCTGCAAGCTGGTGAAAAATAAGAGAGAGAGGTGAGTTTTTCATATGTCCAGACAGTGTGGGACACACGCTTCAACAATCTCAGACGAGACAGCACACCACCCAGTAACACCACCCTCTCCACACCAGCCCTGCAAGGTGGGACAGGAATCACTCCCACTGGTGTGGTGGCAAGACCAACACCCAACAAAAAAATTGGTTTCAAGTTTTTTCTCTTAAGCATGTGAAGCTTTAAAATGGTTTTCCCTTCACAAGAGAGTGCAACATGGTGACATGCAGTTTGGAAAGCCAGCACTGAAGAACTCTGCACGGCCCAAGCTGGTGCTTTTCTCCGGCTCCTGTGTTTGGTGAAGGGCTTTCGTTCTGCACAGGAATCCCACTGTGGGCTGCAGATTCCTGAAGGGAAGTGGCTGGGACCCCTTTCCAGCATGGACACAACTGCTTGGGGCATGCTGATGTAAGCCAACTTGGGGAACTGTAATGGGTTAAAAACAGGTCTGTGAGGTGACACCAAAAGTTGCACTACCGGAGCTGAGGGCCAGTGAAGAATGAGAGATCAGAAATGGGAACAAGCAGCTAAGAGGCAGAAACTAGAAAAATTCTTCAGTCAAGTTGACTGCCAAAGCCCTTGGTTTGTTGAGTAACCTTCTCTCTATGTTCCCTCCACTGTTCCTGCATGACACTTGCCTTGATCTGTGATGCTGCAATGGATGCAGTGAATGGGGCAGGAGCTGAAGGACTGCAAGCATGATCTCATCATATAGAAGATGGAAAGCATGATCTCATTAATAAAAAAGGCCTCAGCTCACCATTGGTTTCTGTTCTCAGGGGTCAATGGAAAGTTACTCACATAGCTGTTTTCACAGATGCCCACAAGGTTTAGATTCCTCCTCTTGAGGATCACCAACCAGACACAACAGGCTCTGATTTGCAGAAGTTTTAAACTTTCATAATTTGCAAAATCAAAGCCACAAAAACCTCCCCTAGGGCTACAAAAGAATCTAAAATGGGGAGCCTTCTGGAAAAATAGGATGCAGGCACTTCAGGTTTAATCCCTGAAGTCACCGAGCACTGATGGCTTTCATCCCTCTGCCTCCCTTCCTGCAGGTGATGCCATCCAGACACCATCATCAGTGCTCGGCAAAAAACATAATGTCACAGAAAAGCCCAAAAAGAATCATTCAATCATTAAAACTTTTGAGGTCTTGCACCCTGAATGCACCACCAAGTGCTCCCTGCACTATATTAAACCACAAAAACTCATGTACAAAAAAAACCCAAACGTTTCACAACAGCTGAGAGACTTTGCAAATCTCTCCTGGATTTAATCTCTCCTCCTGAACAGGAAAGACTGAAGAAGGAAAGGGTTTTTTTTTATTCCCAGCTAACATTTCAATGCTCTTCCCACATCTCATGAGTCAAAACTGCTGATCAAAGCCAAGTGTCTGAGAACCAAATTAAAAAGGGGAAGCTCCAGGCACTGCTTATAATACAGGAAATGTCACCATGCAGCTTAATTAAAGCATGATGACACTAGTTATCACTCACAACTTTCTGCCCTCACTGCACTGCTGACATTATTTTTTTGACTCAGGACTTTATAGGACACTCGAAATAACATTCAGGGGAATTCCTCGTTTGCCTGAGGGCTGCATAATAAGACTATACAGGGGTTGTTGGTGGCCTTCAAAATTATCTGCAGCTTTTCTAAGATGAGATCTGGAGTCAAAGAAGCCACCACCTCCATATGGTGAATTAGAGAAGACTTTAGAGAAGCCTTTGGATCACCCTGAACATGCAGCCATAAGATACAGTTCCTGAAACCAAAACTTGTATTTGTTCTGGGCTTGACAAAACTCTGAGAAGGTTCATGAAGAAGCACAAAGCCCTGAACAGGGACAGGTAAGCCCAGGCAGCATTTTGGCTGGGGCTAAGCACTGGTTGAGCAGCAAGTCTGGAGATAAGGGCCTGGGATCACAGCAGTTACCGTACTGCAGATGAGCCAGCACTGACTGGGCAGTTACTCTAGGAGATGCAGGACCACTAGGGAAGCTGTTACTGCTCTCCTTGGCCTCACATAGACCCCACTCAGATCCTGTGTCCAGTTTTAGGGACCTCAGTCCAAGAGGAAGGTGAATAAGCTGCAGAAAGGCCAGCAATGGCTACCAAGATGTTGGAGTACACAGGCTGGGAAAAGAGGGGGAAGGAGCTGGGCTGGGATTCTCTGAAGATGTGGAGGTGAAGGTCTAACAACAGCCTAGAGTTCCTGGAGGGACAGTTACAGAGATAACAAAGCCCAACTCTCCTTGTTGTTGTGGACCATAGAACATGGGGCAATGAGCATCAACCCACGCAGGGTCATGTTTGACAGGAAGAAAGACTTCCCTGGAGGGTCACGCAACCCTGGGATGGACAGGTGGAGAAGTGAGGGGCTCCATGCCTGGAAGTGTTCAAGGTCTGATAAGGAGAGCCACAACCAACCCCAGCCTTGGGTTGATGATTCCCAGGTCCCTTCCCACCAACCCCAGTAGACATGTAAATCAAACAGGTCAGTAAGGGAGGGTCAGCCAGCCAGAGAGCCCCACAATAAGGAAGAGGTCTGGGGAGGTCAGACATGTCTTTTTCAGCTCTTATCAGCATTCTGAAGCTAAATAAAACTCTTGAAGCAACAAGCACCTCGCTCAAACGCTAATCCATGTGGCTATGTCCTCTTGCCTGATCTGCACCAGCAGAAAGATGCATGAATGCCTCAGCCACGGGAGTTAAACTCCAGAAGACAGCTGGTCTCACTTCCCAAGAACGGTGTGTCTGTGATACACCAGCCTGCCACTTCAGTCCAGCGACAGCCCTTCAGCAGTCACTCCTCTCCTTCAAGCTCTGGGCTTTGCTCCATACATCTACACACAGATCTTGTGACTTCAGTCATGATGGCTGCTACACAGGAGATGGCACCTCCAGGTTCCCTGAGCAAGGAAAAACAGGTAGGAGCACGAGGATGCCTCTGTGCAGACACATGTCTGAGACACCCATGTACAGGACCAGCTATGACAGGCACCCTTGGGGTCTCTGAAGTTTTGACAGGCTGCCAAGGTGTTCCTGGAGCTGCTGTCTCACCATTACCTTCCACATGCGTATTAGTTATGTGAATCCTAAACCTTTCAGGCAGTTCTAGCGGTTTATCTTGGAGCTGGTGCCTTGAAAACTTGATACATAGGGTTTAGGAGTTGTTAGCTTCTTCTAAATATGCATTTTTATTAACAAGACAAGTTAATTCCAATGATTTGTACTTTACCTGGTTCTTTTATTTTTATGTAAGAAAAACATGTTCTGGTTTGGTTTGGTGGGTTTTTTTTGTACCAAGGGAAGGGGTCCAGGGGTGGCTCCCCTAAGAATCTGAGAAGCTCCCCTTGCTCCAAAACCAAGGAACCATTAGAGGACCAATAGATGCACCTCTGCCACTAACATACAAAAGAACTGATATAATACCTGAGCAGAGGAGCACTTAAAGGAGAAGAGCTGTGCAGGAGAAAGCAGGGCACTGCTGGTGGCTGGGGAGGAAGAAGGGGAAGAAGATGCCCAAGCAGAAGTTTCCCTGCAACCCATGGCGAGATGGCAGCTGTGCCCCTGCATTCATGGAGGAACGTGGTAGAACACTCCTTGAAGGCACCAGGAGGGGTGAACTTGGCCACAGGACTTGGATTTTGAGGCCAGTGGATTCGGATGACGCAGCTGTGGAAGCCTCTGGGTCAGGGGAGGTGCCTGTTCCCAAAGCCCCCGTGACTCTGTGGCCAGTACTGGAGCAGCTGGGGGAAGCCTGGGGGAAGGACCAGGATAGGTTCATGGAGGACTCTCTGCCATGGGAGGGACTCCGTGGGGAAGCAGGGCAGGACTGTAAGGAACCCTTCTCCTTGAGGAGGACGGAGCAGCAGGAACCACCAGCCTGTGAACTGACTCTAAACCCCATCCCCCTGTGCCGCTGGGGGGAAGGAGAGAGAGAAACTGGGAACAAAGTGATTTGGGTGGGAAGAAGGGAGGGGGGGGGATAACATATGCAAGCCCTGCTCTGTGTGTGTCTCTGTCCTGTGGGTGTTTGATTAGTATGAAATTAAATTATTACTTTTCCCCAAGTTGAGTCTGTTTTGCCCAGGACCTTAATCAGTGAAGAACCCTCTTTGTCCTTTGTCTCAATCCATGAGCTTTGTCCTCCTCATCCCAGAGTGTGTGTGTGGGGGGGGAGCTAAGTGAGCGGCCATGGGGCTGTTCCTTTGTTGTCATGTTGGGCCCAAACCATGACAAAACAGCTGAAGAAATGCTGGAAAATGCATCACAGTCAGAGGTAGCACACTCTGGATGGAGAACCCTGAGGAAATTAGCAGGCAGACTGACCCAACACACCATAAACTGGATGCCACCAATTACGGCAAGAATCATCAGTCCACTCATGCTGCTGGGATCAGCCTGTGCTGGGGTTCACTGCCTCCAAAGAATAGTAGACCACTCGGCTTAGAAAGCTGTAAAGAAAACCACCACCCTGATCATGCAGTGCCTAACAAACACTTGAGGCTTATCAAGGTTCAGTAACTCAGCTGCTAATGCTTTCCCTGCCAGTGCACAAAATGAATTTTGCCAGGATGGATCAGTGGCCAAGAATGCAGAAAAGCACTAGAAGTTTAAAGAAGGTATGACAGCATTAAAAGTTTGTATTTCCATATCTTTTTTTTTCTCTGATGCTTATAAAAACAAGGGAAGCACCATGGACAAAATTACATTTGATCCTCACAGGCTATGGACAGAGGGCAGGAACGGCAGTACCATGAGAAAAGCACAGCAGCTCCCCAGGAATGACTCTGGCCTGCAAGAGAAGGCAACACCTGAGATGCAAGGGGATTTCAGAGAGCAACCACAAAAGGAAGCTGCAAGTCACAGGAATATGCTGCCATCAGATGACGTGCTTGGCTGGAGCAGTGACACCTGTGTACTGCCCTTCCCTGCCAGATCAGCCTCCACAAGTGAGTCAGTGCTTCCTGGAACGAGGTAGCTTTGCAGCATTTCACTTGTGACCATGTCCCTGTCCATTGCACAACCTCCAAACCTCATGCCGAGTGCTGAACTGGCCTGTGCTGACTTGCGCTGCCTGAGTGCCCTTGTACACCAGGCAACAGTCAAGGCAAGCCTCTCACTAGAGTTTAGATGCTAAAACATCTGCCTGGTGTTTTCAGGATATCCATCAGAACCTCAGAAACCCCGAAGAAGCTACTTTCACCACTCAATGTGAACACTTGCTTTAAGAGCCACAAGATCTGCTGGTTGGTTTTGTGTTTGGGGAA